CTAGCCCTGTAAGGCAATCCATCTACGTCCTGAGGACCTCGCTGCCACCGTCCAAGCGTGCTTGGCCCCGGCAGATGAACCTCAGGATTAAAGGGTGGGCTCAGTTCCGCGCACACTGTGTCTCACCTAAAAAAATCCAATGCGCAGGCTGGAAGGTGGAAAGACCTTCCCCGGTTCTTCGTTCGCGAAGAAACTGGCCATTATATATCTTTCGTATTTAAATATTCACACCAGGAAACAGACCCTTTCATGTACACGTGTGGTTCATATGTCTATTAAAATCATTAAGGAATACAATAGAAGACTTAGTTGAGTCTGCACCCATAAAATAAAATGGTGTTTCATGGAGATCAGGTTAGTAAGTCATAGTCCTCCCCTGGAAATGTCTTAGCTGCTACTTTATTGCTGTAGGAGCTCCCTCCTACTATGCAGCTTCTAAGAGGTGTGGGGGGAGTGGGGGTGGGTGTAATAATCATTTATGTCACTCACAGTATGTGCAAAGTAATCTCTGTTTGCTGCTCTCTACTTATTTCCTTAGCTAATGAGATAAGAATAAAGAATTAATTAATCTCTTTCAAATCTCTACACTAGTAAATATATGAAATCACACTGTTTATTGCTTCCCCCTGGTGAATATAGAAAAGCAGAAATTACATTGTCTTTCTTTTAATCTCTAAAAAAGTATGTTTTCCCATGCAGATTATTTTTCCCATTCTGAGGGAGATGCATAGGAGACATGGGGTCCATTTTACTTAAGCACCACTAAAAATTCATCATGATGTACGTTTTAAGTTGATGGTAAAGCTTTATCTACAGTCTTTATCTATGTAATTGAAATAAAAATTGAGAATTTTTACATAAAACCTCAGAATTAAAAAGTTGAATACATAGCTGAGTGTCTTCAGTTTTCATCTCAAATAAGAAAAGAAAATGAAAAAGTATTAAGAAATAGAGTCGTCTGTGATCAGCTACAATCAAACTACAATACGTGAACTTAATATTCAGTGCTTGTAAATAAATGGAGTGTGTCTGCTTCTGCCTATTGAGTGGTGGCAGCAGCAGCTCTTTAGGGGATAATTAAGCCTGAAATCACAAACAGGAAGCCATAAAGTCCTTCAGTCAGTGGCAGTCCTAGGAAGAGGGTTGTGGTTTACCATAACCAGTCAGGCCTTTTCTCTTTTTTTGCTGTATGTAAGTGGAAGTTTTTCAGTCTTCCCAAGATGAACATCTTTTCACTTGCAGTGTGTCTCTACCCTTCTGTAAGTCACAGAGTAGGAGTCCAAGCACCAAGGTCCCACAATCCGGCATCTGACATTATATCCTCAGTAGCAGGACATTAAGGGGAAGCAGAAGTTGGCTGCTTTCGGTTAACTAGGAGTTGGTGACATCTACTTTCTCCATCCTGGGAAGATCATATTTCAATGTCCCTACCCTACAGATGCATCAATTCTCAAGGCAGGGGCAAGTGTAAACATGTTTAGTGTAATTTTGGGCATTATGCGGGTATCTAATCTGGCTTTCAGGTCATGCTGGGTAAAGGTGCTCAAGTCCTGAGTAAAGCCTACCAGCCCTTTGCATTTGTCTTAAATAGCCTGGTGTTTCAAATGGCTGGAGGTGCCATTGTTTAGGCAGAGAAATCCTGCCTCACCTTTCTCTATAGTCGGGGAAGTGACATTTGCACAGAACTGGGTACAGGGATTTTCCACCCATTCTGGGGAGTCAGCTACCTAATAGTGTGGAGAAACACCTGTAAGTAAGGGAATAAACCATTTTACAAGCCACCTCTGCTCAAGGGTTTATGTGTAGGTTTATACATTGAATAGTGGTGCCAGAAGTGATGTTGTGATTAGAAGCCAGTACTCCTGACCTTCCTGCTAGCAGGGGCATGCCTTTCTCACTCAGTTCTTGACTCCTGTGCTAATGTGTATTTTCTTTTATTAATTTACAATTATTTCTAAGTTTTCAACAGTGGCACATGGGGTTTTATTATATTTAAGAATACCTCTTGGTAAATGTGCTCTACAGTTATTGAGCAAATTTCGTGTGTAGTTCCTTTAGCTCAGTCATCCTGTTCTTTTCTAATGTTATCCAAGATAAATTTTGGTCTTTTACAGTGTAATCCAAGACAAATTTTGTGGTATCATCAACATTTCAGTGGAAGGACTACATGATGTTATGACTGAAGATTCTGAAACAGGAACATATAAAGAGTAAGTGGAAAATCTAGTTTTGTTGGGTTTAACAGTGGCAGTACTGTTTTATATGAAGTGTTTTGATTTGAAAAATCTGTAGGCAGTTAAGACATGCTTGTGATAGTTCTATTTTCTCAAGAGTAAGACAGGAAATTTTTGTTCCTGAGAGAAAATAATTGCAGTGGGGGAAGGAGAGCTTAAAATGACAGTATAATGTCATATTGTTATGTAATAAATGATGTCTTAAAATGCTCATATACTTAGATTTGCTTTTTGCTTACTTGACTGTTATATCTAAAATTGCAGTACCACAAATTTGTGTGTGGATATGGTGGTAGCTCAGAGTTTCTTTGAGTGTGGCATCAACCTCATATGAGTGTACCTAGTACGCAATTCTTCACAGTTTAGAGAACTTATAAACCTATCCCACAAGGACAGTTCTCTCCCTTCAGTTGTTCCACTTAACACTGGCTGCTACAGGGCATCTCTCAAAAGATAGTTTCCAGAGCTGGGAGCAAGGGTTTGCCTGTCGCAGTAAGGTGGGTTTTGGGGATGCCCAGAGTGCACTTCAACCCAGCACCACACTCATTCATCTCCTAATGACTCCCAGATTACCTATAGTAGCCAATCAAAGCTGGAAAAATAAAAAGAGCCAGTGAATAGTAAGATATTTTTTGGACTTAGTTCTTAATGCTTTTTCTTTGTAATGATTACAGAGTTTTAGATTGATAGAGAGTTGTTAGACATTAAAAAAAGATGCTCTGCAGGATGTTCTTACAGATACTATATGCTACTGGCCAAGAGAGAGACTATATGCTAATAACAGTATTTATTGGATGCTCTGATGCTAGGAATCAGAACATTTTCTGACTTTCAGGTAATTACCGGGTCATGGAACAAACTGAATCTGAACTAATTAACTGATTGCTTAAGGGAGTGTTTGTTGGTGCTGAAACCAGCTGGCACAGAGCAGCCAGTTGCAATCTATTAAGTTTTTCTCTGCTTACACAGGTGGTATATTCACAAGTGTGCCATGAGACTGGTCCACACTCACGCTGAGCCTGAACTGTGCCCAAGAATTGTTTGCAAAAGTACTTTCCACTGAACTATCAGTAAAGAAGATGTAACTCCAAAGTCTGGGAATGTGCACCATGTCTGACAGTGTGTTTTGTTTACTGTTGGAAACAATATTAGAATCCCTTGTATTTCTAAACGTGTTGCTTTGCCAGCACTTGTTGAAGAGTTCTTGTGGAGAAATAGAAAAACCTGTGTCCTAATTCATTTTGTATTTTAAGCCTGAAGGCTCGTAGAACTTGTCACTACTTTTCTAAACTCTGGACATTGTTTTTACTTTATAAAATATAGCTGTGCTGAACCAAGGACATACTGATATTGACAGATACTGAATGAGCTGTTTGAAAGATTCTGACACTTGTGTAATGTGTTTTGACATCTGAAAGTCAAGTGAGAGCCCGCATCTGAAATTGTGTGCATTGTTGTGACTCTCCAGGTTAAAGAAGCATGATTTAAGCCAGAACTGGTTCAGAAAAAAATAGCTTTCATCAATGTCTTTATAAAGTGCATTCAAACTGTTTTAAGAATCAGAAAAACCTCTGACATTTAAACTGGTTTTTTCTCTGTGTTTTCTGGTTTTATGCTTACTACAAAAGTAATAGTTAAAAAAAGGCTGTTACTTGTATATATTGCCAGTTGAGGATGAAGCAAAGCAAAAAAGAAGTTTAAAACCTTTGCTTTACCTACCTCTCTAAGTAAATGTCTGCAGAAGCTAGCTCATTTCTGTTCACCTAAAACATTACTGTTCAGTGTCTTCTAGATTTTAGTGTAGAACCAATAGCAGTACCCTTATTAGTTTTCAGGTCCTCATGTTAAAGAGCTCACGGAAAAACATGAATGCTATGAGAAATGTTTGCTAACTTTGTATATGTGCCACTTTGACTTTCATGTTGATAGGATAGAGTGCTTGTATAGCACTTTTTGAAAAGAATGAAGAATTCTAGTTAGGAACAGTAGGTTTTTCTGTATTAATTCTTTTCTGAAACCCTATAGTCTGCTTTCTATATACAGAAATGCATTTTAAAACCACATCTTAAGCTAAAATGTGAAAAATAGCTGAGATTGTTACATGGATTGAGGTGACAGAGAACAAGCATTCAGGCTTCATCAGATTCACCGTTCTCAGAAAAAATTTACTTGTTAACAGATCGTCTGACTTTCAGCAAACTCTCATATCTATTTTGTGTTTTTAGAAAAGCTATAAAATAATTTTTGATGGTAATGCATGTTAAAACTGTTTCTATTCCCTTCTTAGCTGCATGTTAATGTCTCATTTTGAAGAACCCAAAGCTACAGATGACGAGGAACCTCCCACAGAACAAGACAAAAGGAAAAAAATTGTAAGTTTTAGATCTTTTATTCAGTTATAGACCTGATTATGCGCGTCACTAAATTCTTTTGGGCTTTGGTTAATCTGTTCTTCTTGGAAAATTTATGTTTTGAATCAAAAGAGGAAAATGCTTTGAGGACAAACCTTGCAGCCACAACACTTATGCTTCTGCTTTCCTTTTGCATCTTGGAGGCTGTTTTCAAAACAAACTTTGTCTGTTCACAAAATCTGGGCATTACAATGCTCAGACAATACAAGAAGAATTTATTGAAAAGAAAAAGAGAACTAAACCTTACTGAAATGCCATGGCAGGAGAAATTTCTCATATTTAATACAATTCATGTGCTTGCATAGAACCTTTCTCTAGTGTAAAGAACTCTTTCTAAAAAGTCATGGTTTTAAGGAGGCTTTTCTTTTAAATACTAAGATATATAAGGAATATATTTTTAAAAGCAATATAATATATTCCTTTAAAAAAATTACACAAAAGCAAGCAAACTCTAGTTGTTATGAATGTCTATAATAATTTCTTTCTGAATCCCAACTGTAGTTCAGTATATGGCTTTGCAGATGGTGCAGAAATTGAAACTTGGCTATTTATTTCAGAATTTATACAGGTCATTTGGATAGGCCACTAGGAGCAGAAGTGTCAAATAATAATCATGGCTTTGAAAGCACAGCTAGCATTTGATTTGAAAAACCTGATTAAAAACAAAGTATTAGCAGCTTGTATCTGGGCTTAGAGATTAAATCTCATAAAACAGGAGTCATTAAAGATGAGTGGGATTCTCTCCTTCAAAATAATAATGCTTTTCAACTTTTAAGGCCATTAATATGAGAAAAAAAGATCAACTTGCATGGTTCATGCTAAATATCACTTCCTGCTGTTTGCACAGGATGTAGATACTTTAATCTCTTTGTCCTGCTCTTGATACCTTTCTTTATTAACACATAGCTCATAATTACTAGAGAGTTTTTGCTGAAACAGTACTTTGTAAGTTTATAATAATTTTATCTGATTGATGTTTCCAAATACTACTATATTTTTGTCTCATTGCAAATATATTGAAGAACATGTAAGCAGATACAGAGTGATTCATGTCCTTACATTAAGGGCATGTAAAAATAAGTCACTTTAGGCCTATACATTATGTGTGATGCATGTTTTTAAGAACTCCAGTATCATTGTTAAAATAAGGGAGTTAAATATTCTCAACAACTTACTGGAAACTGTAGACTGGAAAAATGAAGTAAGGTACCCTTCCATAAAGACCTGTCTTATTTTAGCTTGAAGAATCTATGCAGGTACATGTTTCAGATGAAAGCACAGAAGGCTTGGGAGATTTTTTTGCTTTACCTTCACATGGGAAGAAACTAGGTGAATTGTGGTTTTACATTTTCAGGAAAATAAATAAATTATTTATAATGTAATATGTTAAATGGTCAAGTTTTATGTGATAATATGGTTTACTAAAAGTAATACTTTTTACTTCATTGTTTGGAGTATAATTTCTCTTTAGACATTTAATCTACAAATGACCAACAGATTTAATGTAAGTCTCATTGATATCTCCTAAAAACTTGGATAGTAAAGAATATATTCCCTTCTTAAATTATTTTCTGGTCTTTCCTAATTACAAGATAGTAACCATGATTGCAAATATGTACGATTTTATGCCCAGCATTCTGGCTGCCTCTTTAGTATTAAAGTACCTAACCTGAAGAGAATCTCTCAAGTTCCGGGAATCTTTTCAACGATTTATTTCATATATCACCAACATAATTTTTTGAATTTTTTTTAAATTTACTTTTATTGCCTGTTCTTGCATATGATGCCATTTAATTTACTTGTGTTATCACTTGTAGTAATTGGATCACTGTTTTAGTACAAATTAGTGTATAAATGCTGATTTGAAACAGTGTGATTTTTGAGCTGTTTTGACTAAGAAGCTGTGGGAATTTTCTAGGATCTTTTTTTAACTGTTTTTAACTGGAAAATAGATCTGTTTTACTCTTACCAGAATTAGGCACATTTCAATTAAAAAACCCCCACACATCTGGGAACTCAGCATACATACTTATGTTGATATATATAGACCCTGACCAACTATGCTTACTGTTCTTCCAGACTTAGCTCGTTTGCTTATTTGGTGAAGACTGCAGATGGCTGTCTAATATTGTTGACAAACTCATTTTATCAAACTATTTCATTTATTTTGTTAGCTCTGAATACAAGTTCAAGAAAAGTAGAATGAAAGAAAATCAAATATATTGTTGTTGAAGGAAACTCTTTAATTTACTTAAAACACTTCTAGTGTGACTATCTGAACGAAAACAAATGAAGGTATTAACTCCTTAATTAAGTCAGACTCTTAAGTCCCATTTGGCTTACAGATACTAGATGATGCTTTTAGCAGCAAATATAATTATACTACAGAAGTTCCTAGTGGCTTGGAGTGCTGCTGCTTTAAATGGTGAGGGATGGATTTACTTTTGCTGCAAAAAACTAAGCAGGGTTTTTGTATTGGGCTTGCATGGCCAGATTTTGGCATCAGGGAGACCACATTTATGTGCAAGTTCTTACTTGTCCTGATAAAACAGATCTTGGTAAATACACAGCAGAAATGTTTTGGTCATATTCCTTTTCATGGGAAGGCTACATACAGAGTTGACTAAGTTCTCTGAAGTTTTGTGGAAAAGAAAATGTGGGATTACAATATTTATCAGTAATTAGGTAAAAAATTGAAGTGCATATTTCTGAACTCTGAACACTGTGCTGGTCTGGCAGCTCCATTAGGAATAAAAGACAATAACTTTGAATTATGTAATATATTAAGTTTGGTCATCTTCTTCAGTTAGATTGTTTTTTCAAGATTAATTACTTTTCCATAGTGTTGCTGATATGATTCAGAGGATTGTTTGGAAATCAATCATGACCAGCCATGAAGCACATCCTGGGAAGCTGGGACATCTAAGAGACACTAGAGAGCATCTCTGTAATGCTATAAGAAATGCTAGAAAAAGCTCAGACTTGGAAGTTCCAGCAAATTTTGCAAATAAGCAAGAATTCAAACCGTTTGTTTTCAAAACAATACAGCACTTTTGTTCAGACTTTGAAGATCATCACTGGGGTGCTAGAAGGGCATTGCACACATACTGGCATTCTAGTAGCTTTTTAAAATTGGAAAAAAATTTGGACTTAAGTCGAGGCTTATTAGCGAACATTGACATATGAGAAGGCAGAATTTTACTTACTGTTGACTTAAGTCTAGAGTTTTTTCTTTTTTCTTTTTTTTTCAGATATCTGGAGAATAAACTTTGTAATATGAAATTACTGATTAAATCAATTTTTCTTGAAGAAGAGAAAACTTGAAGTTGATATTTTAAGGCAGTTGGTTCTGGCTTACTGTTGTAATTCTGAGTACTTTAAGTTAAACAAGAATTTATGGTAGGATTGCACAAGTCATACAGTTAACTAAATGCATAGATTTGTAGGTTGAAAGGTTGTAAAAGAAAGGCTTTTTGGCATCACTTCCCAAGGTGACTTTGCCATATACAAGTGTTCACATCCTTGTAAGCCTGACACAGCAGCAAGTAAATGAATGACGGTTTTAGTATCTGTTTTTCTGTGCAAAATTCCCTAGAGTAACTTTATACATGACTATTCAGAGCTATGAACTTAATGAAACTGATTATAAATGGATTATATGTCCCAAATTGCAGTTGTTGGTGAACAAATGCAAATTGTTCAGAAACTGATAGATTCTTTGTTTGGTAAGACAGTCTTTTTTATTTTTCTCTGTAGACTGTCCTAGTGCTATTACAAAAAGGATGTCACTAACCTTGGCAAATCTTGATTAGAGTAGCTGTGATTTAGAGATTTCATTAGAAAAGTCTTTTATATTCTAGAGATTCAAATTACTGAAAAAAACCCCACTACAGAATACTGAGCTATTACTACAATTACTTCTCTTTTCAAAAGACTCTAATGTTAAGAATAGGTAATAAAATTATCAAATCTTACCTTTGAAAAGTAAAATAGCTGTATAATAGAAAATGGTGAAGGATTGAAGGCTAAAAAGCCAATATTAGTAATACTGAGGAAATGTTTAATAGATTCACAGTATCAAAGGTGCGGTGACCATAATAAGAAAGAAGAACTTGTAAGCAGTGATGGAAGAGGCCAAAAACCAGCCTTCTTTTTTACAGGAGTTGTTTGTAAGAAATAGGACTTAACTTCTTTCCTGTAGTAATTACAATGGTTTTGGAAGTTTTAACCTATTTTATATTTATGTGGCCGATTCACTCTATGTTTTCCTGGTTTAGGTGTAATGTTAAGTAAGTAATCTTAAGGTCTCAAATCTTAGTTCGTGGAGCCTAGCCATGAATCTTAAGGTTTAACATCTTCTACTCCATATTAACACTCAAATATTTCTTTTTTTTTAATCACGCCAAAAGAGCTGTTGTGCAAGTTTAATATGACTTATTTCTTTTGAAATAACACTATAGCAAGGTGTTATAGGCTCATAAGTCTCCTATTTCAGTGGACATTGAGATCTGGCATTATATTTTATTTCCTGACCTTCCAGCATAAACAATAGTGTTGTTTGGTTTGGACACTTGAAATGAACAGATCATAGATCTGCATTAATATACCATTAATTTTGACATCTTGCTTTATGATGCATCAAGCTCCAGGTGTCCTCACCTCCCACCCCTTGGTAGACTGAGGGACAAATGCTGCCACACATCTGCTGACACTGAAATTAAGAGCACATCCTTTGTCAATATAACGCTTTATTTTACCTTTTTGCTTTCTTTAAGAGGCAGTTAACCTGCGGAAAAGAGCGACAAATACTCTGTCCCTCCCTTTTGTACCCAAAAGAAAATTGTATAATCCAGCTGGACTGGATGAGGTTTATAGGGTACTACCACTGAAGTGTGTCTATTCTTTATGCATATGGACAATTTATTTTAACTGTTGCTAAATAGTTAAATTAGTTTGACTTCTTCTGTGTTTTGTTTTCTTACTAGTAAAATAAAACTGACCATAGTTCATGCCATCACGAAAGTGCTTGTTGTGGTAACATCTGATGTGATTTTTAGGAGTTACAGAAAACTCATTCAGTAACTAATAAAGCAGCTTTGAATTGTTTTATCTTATAGAAGCATGGAATCTTAGAGCAAAGTATAAGATGGTCATGATTTAACACTGCTTCAAATAGTTTTAAACTGATATTTGCCTTGAAAATAATTAATCTGATAATTTTTCAGAAGTTTTTTGTTCTCTCAATTAAATACAAAGAAAAAATATTTCTTTCTTGAGCTGAAGTTATAACAGAAATTAGTAAGTCACAGAATATTTTTTAATGCATTATTATGTATTTTTCTCTTACATGTTTTCCACAGCTTGCACTGAAGGACCCTGTACACACTGTGTCATTGCAGCAGTTCATCTATGAGAAGCTAAAGGCACAGCAGGAATTAATGGGAGAACAAGGTTTTCAGGCCCTTATGGAAACTGTGGATACAGAAATAGTTGCCCAGCTACAAGAATTTTTACAAGGCTTCTAAATAAGAAGAAAAAAGATTTTGTATGTCTAATTTTTCTTTCCAAAAAAAACCCCAAAAGAACTTCAGCATTCCATCTTGTATGGAAGAGCCTAATGAAAAGTGAAAATAACTTGTGTTAAAAAATAAAAATAAGTTTCTTCTGTTGCTATTAAACCACACTCTTTGTTATTTTTTTTAAATAGTATACTAAGGCTTTTATCATTAAACAAACATTTCTTTGACTCCTGACATGGTCTATACTGTCCTAGGTAGTACCTTTTTTGCTACCATTACTGACTTTTTTGTTCACAAAGCTATGTCATAAAGTCAGATATCTGCAGGAACTTACTAATGTATTTTAATGGGAAGAGTCTGTTAATTCAGCACTGTAATTCAGTATCAGGAGCTGCTTCTTTTCATATTGTATACCTATAACCTCTTTCTATTGGTCTTTCTTGACTGTATGTTCAACCATACACGCAGAAAGAGTTACAAAAACAGTAAGGCTGTGAGCAGAAATTTTCCTTCTTGAAAGAAAGATAATTCCCGTTTGAATTGTCTCAGAGAAAAAGAGACTCAGATTGTATTTGGTGAGTTGCTAGAGAACATCAGTGTATATCTCTTTCTGAAGATATGACTTTTTGTTTTTGTGACCAAATACTTCATTTCTCTTAAGAAAAAATTTCTTGAGTTCATTCTATTTCACTTTTAGCTGTCATAACACAGAGAAGCTCACTAGAGGTAGATGAGTTATTAATTCCAATTAATTTGTGGCTGTACCTGGACTACTTAAAGTTGCCCTGTTCAGCATCTCTATTATTAGCATGTTTTCATCAGAGGTGTGTCATCAGGATACTTCAGAATTGTTGCTAAAAAGTTTGGTCACAGTTAAAATAATTATTTGCAAACATGAAGCTTATTTTAAATTATTTATTAGTTACCTGCAGCAATCACAAGGTAAAGCCACTCCTTTGTGTATGCCTCTGTCTTTTGTACCTTGCAGGTGGAAGAGAGAAGAGAAGGCTCATTTCCCTTTTCGGATTTTTTCTTTTAAGGACTGATCTTCCACCTTCAAAGCTGAAATGAATTTTGTTTGCTTCACTAAGGGATGATTCAGCTATTAAGTCAGATTTTTTTTTCCCAGGGGGATTAACTGTTTAAAGAGACCTTCAAGCTTTGATAATCTTAGCAGATAACCAGATGCTTTTAAAAATCTGACCCTTCAGGGAGTAACCATTTTCAAAACCTTCCTGATGCATATGCTCATTTCACATGCATTAGGCAACAAGTTAAATTTGTCTCTAAATGTTTAGTTTTTTATCTTGGAAGAGTTTACTCCAGGGCTTGGACTATAAATTAAAACAATCATCATCATCAAAACTGTTTATATGACAACGACTGTCAGTGAATACACTGCAAAACAAGTGCCCATCTGCACTCAGCAGCAATCTAGTAATCAAAGTGGAGAAATTTCATCTTGAAATAGCAGAAAACCCCATATCCTTATATATTATCCTTATATATAGGGTTAAATTTTCACTGGAAAATTGTGGATTAAGACTGCAGCAAGCTATAGCCCTTTATGATGTTGAAATTTCTAACTTTAGTCTCTAGGGGAAGAAGCAAAACCAAATACAACAAATGGTCTGATATCAAAGCAGTAAAATACAGTTTCTGAAATTCTTATGAGGCAAGATCTTTGGTTGTGTTGCCCTTTAGGCTTTGATTTTCAAGACAAATAGTAATTTAAATTGGGAAATTTTTTTCCCTGTAAAATAAACTCCTGAGGGTTACAGATGTTATCAGTTTAGCTTGGCTAAGAGCATGACTAAGATGAAGACAAATGTTTTCTGTCACTCAACTAAGTGGACTAATTCTCCTGCCTCCATCTTCAGAAAGTTAGCTTTGCTATCAGTGATGACCATTTTTAGTCCTTTGGCCTAACTGAAGTGTAAATAATCCCTGTGATCTCATTGCACTCCATTAAATTTTTTTTCATCTTTAAAAAGTAGATTTATCCATGCTATAACTTATTCCTATTAGATAATTCAGGTGTTTGTCCCATACAAAATACAATTGGAATAACTTTACTTCTAACACTTTCAGTTCGGATAATGTGAGGTCAGGGCAGGGGCCTTATGTTCTTGCAGCCCATGCCAGGAGGGAGTCATGGCCTCCTACCTTCCCTTCAGTGAAGTGACAGAGGGTTTTGTGTCATTTGAGAGCAAGTCCAAGGGCCAGAGTATTTCTGAAAATCTCAGCCGTTGCCTTGGCCCAGGGGGGTGCAGAGGGAGTGCAGGGTGCAGTGAGTGCCTGTAGGTGCTGTCCTGACAGCCCTTGTGGGCAGGGCTTTTAGAGAGAACCCCACTTCTTGCCGGGAAAGTGAGTGCTTGTGGCACTGCTGATGGGTTGGCAGGAGTTGTTCTGCCCACTGTGGTTTGACTGAGAAGGGGTTCCCTTCAATTCCAGGGAAACAAACAACATTCAGGCCATTCATTTTTAGTTCTTTCTCTACAGCATCTTTGCAGAGGCAAATAACCCATATGATTTTCCAAACCATTTCCCCTAAATTACTGAGACTGTTTTGGATGAGGCTCTGAGCACTCTTGTCTAGTGGACAGTGTCTCTGCCTATGCCAGAGGGGTTGGAACTAAAGTGATTCTAACCCTAGGAGAATATGCAGGAGGGAAACTCAGCTCCTACTGGTCCAAACAGATGTTCAGACATCATCTCCCAGGGTGCCAGGAGTGACAGCCACAGTCCTAAGTGGAATCTCAGCTTGTAACTGCAGATTGTAACAGATGGACTCATTTCTCTGATTGTTCAGCAATGACAAAATCACTTCTTTAGATCATATTAACACAGGTACAAGGTTTACAGTTAATATCATTTAATACTGTTTAATATGCTTGACTTATTTTCTGTTTTATTTAGTTCCAAACCCTAATAATGCTCTTAAGTTGCAGTTCATGGTGTTTGAACTGCTGAACATGCCACATTTTTGTTTAGCAAAGCAGCATCTTTGTAACTAAGGTGCACAATTTGAAGGCTCTCCAAACTCATTCACTTGTCTTGCTTCAACACTGATTTTTCAAAAAATAAATTATTACTAATTTTAAAATGTTCACAATTTCTGTCTCACTGCTAGCTGTGATTATTAATGATGACTAATTATCAGGTAACTAGATTTCACTACTTCTGTAGAAACATTTCATAAAGCCCAAAAGCTTTCTTCATTTTGCTGACTCTGGGGAAAATGAAATCAAATTAAGTGGAGTCAACCTCCTCTAAAATTTTGTTGTGTATTCATAAGGATTGCTTAAAAATGTTACATCCTCTGTTCCCCACAGTGGCTAGGCAGCATTTTGTTAGGCTGAGTGTATACTATTGCACTGACTAGTATGCTTAAAAATACTGATCATGAAGGAGTTGTTTTCAGTTTTACACAGAATGGGTGTTCAGTTCCGGTCTAAAATGAATTGAAGCAAAAGAGAAGTTGCTGCAAACAAGCAAATTCTGCCAGCAATACATAAATATAACTATAGCATGCCTCTTAAAAGTTGATTATACAGAATAAAACCACATCCCACATAAAGGTATGTGTCATTTCTGAAGTAATGGCCAGTCTTCGCGAACGAAGAACCGGGGAAGGTCTTTACACCTTCCAGCCTGCGCATTGGATTTTTTAGGTGAGACACAGTGTGCGCGGAACTGAGCCCACCCTATAAATATAAATATCCGCTAACGTAACACTCTGTGAAAATTCAGAGCAGAGAAAGCGTAAAGCTGGATATTTTGTGCATGGCAGTGTTAAAAAAAATAAATTGTGAGTAATTTCTGAAGTTGTTTCAAGTATTTTAAACCAAGTTGTCTTTATTTTTAATGGGGAGAAAAATTCTGTTTATTTATTGTTATCATTTAGTTTTTAGCCTGGGAAAAGGCTAATAGCAAGATGTCACAAATATTCTGTATCAGGACTGAGTCTTGTCAAACTTTTATTAGGTTTAGGAGCATCAATGAATAGTGAACTGGCAAAAATTGCTAGTGAACAGCAAGGAACGTAACTGAGCATGGCAGAGTAGCAATACAGGCAGATGAAGCTCTAGTGCTGGTAAATGCTCATCTGCCTTGTGACAAATGGTTCAGAGACAGCCCTTGTGCTTGATAATTTCCTTGGGGCTGATGAAATGGAAACCTAGAGGGTTCAGTTGTTGAGGGAGAGAAAGCATTCAAACAAGCTTACACAGCTGGAAATGAGATTTCACAGAGTTGTCCTGGTTGGAAGGGGTCTCTTGAGGTCATCTAGTCCACTGCCCTGCTCAAGCAGGGTCAGCTGTGGCAGATTGCACAGAATCATGACTACTTCGGTTTTGAGCATCTTGACTGATGAGGGCTTCACATCTCTCTAGGCAGTGTCTTTAACCACCTTCACATCTTAGGTTTATATGAAATTTCATGTGTTTCAATATGTATCCGCTGGCTCTTGGGCTGTGAATAAGCATCACTGAGAGGAATTTGGCTCCCTCTTCTTATCTCTCTCATCAGATATATACACGCTGCTAAGGTCCCTCAAGATTTGAGAGTTTCTTTCTGTGGAAAAGTTTCAGGGGAAAAACTGCAGAAGGAGTGATGGGCTAGAAAAATTCTCACTCTAAGGAAGGTGAAATGGTGAAATTCAGTGGATCTTAATGTCACTTGTGGAAAAGAAACAAGAGTGATTGTGGGTTAGAACAGAGAACTGGTCAGATTTTGGGTATGGAGACTGGATAGACCCATAGTAAGAAGAGATATGGGTTTCTGCAGAGTGGAGAGGTCTTACAGGTATTTTGTCAAGAGGAAGTAGAAATATCTGAACCTTGACAAAGAGGATATTTCAGGAGCAAGACCAGGAGTTGAGAACCTCTTCAGGCAAGATGAGGTGGTAATTTATTTTGATTCCTTGTAAAGGGAGAACTGATTTGGGGAAAGGCAGAATGCAGAAAGACTTTCTGCCTTGAGCCCTATAACTGGCAAATTAATAGTGGAATGAATGATTCAGTCTTGTAGCGTTTAGTGTTTGCTCACAAAGTCTGCCCTGAGTTTGAAGAATAAAGGACAGAACCATTTTGTCCTGTTTTTTTGCACAATTGGAGGCAGATGAACCCTGAATCTCTTGTTTAGTTTGGAAGCATCTC